CCCTGAAGGGGCATCAGCCCCTTTAACACTTTTTTTGGGTGCAGATGGCGCCGGAGCCGGTGCTGCTGGGCCAAAAATGTTCAAAGGAAGGAGCACCTGGTCCACCTGATACACAGCTAGCTGATTGTCAGTAAATATGGTATTAGCCACAGTTGCATTGACAACCCCTGTTGTTATGTTCACTTGGTTCCCTGCTGTGGTCACATTTAATGGGAACTGGCCATCATTGCTATTTCCAGCTTGTGTATGCAAAGGGTTGGAGACAGTTTGGAACTGTGAGACCGAAAAGAAATTCGGTAGGACGTGAAATTGCATAAGCTGCAGCTTTTGCTGTTCTGAAATGGAGTTTAGCGTGCCAGATTTGAGGCTGGAAAAGGCATTATCAGTTGGTGCAAAGAGGGTGATGCCCTGGTTTGAGGTGCTGAGCTGTGTGTTGATTTGGTCAGACATCCTGGTGCTTTTGAGTAGCTTAATCAAGGTGGTGAATTGACCAGCCTTCTCAAGAATAGCAGTCACATTGGTTGCTGATGGTGCAGGGGCTGCTGCTGGAGACTGAGCAGAAACTGTGGCTGAGTGGAGGAAGATGATCAAAGTGAAGAATGTAAAGAAAGATAAGGCTGCCATCCCTTATTTTTATGTTTTTGGCTTGGTGGGTTTTGATCAGAAAGAGAAGGTGGAGGAGATGGGCTAAGGTTGGAGAGGAGTGAGGGTATATATTGTGTGGGTGTGACTAAAAGAGAGTGGGAAGTTAGGTGAAAGGGAGTCATTTTAAGGTAGCAAGACAATGTCATCTGAAGCCAATATCCATCTTTTTCTTGGTAAGAAAGAGGAACAGTGAAGGAGAGATTGAGTTTTGCTTAGTGGGGCAGGAAAACATAGCTGGATATGTGATTGAAGGGAGTGGGGTACAATAAGTGAGAATGATGAAGGTTTTTTGCTTCCTGTTTGGTGCAACTTCAAAAGAGAAAGCTTGAAGTTCAAGTTTTCATAATAAGCAGTTAGGGTGGGACCAATTTCTGCAATTCTTTGATTCTTGGTGACCCTTGAAATTGATATAAGATTCAAAGGGAAGGGGAAGTGTCACTGCCATGAACAATTCCATGATAACAGTAAATTTTCTGATAAATTTTCTGACTACCAGTATAATCTGATCTAAGCATTTGTCTTGGCTCAAATAACATGTGAGACAAATTAATTAACAACTAAACAAGGGTTAAGTCTAGAATTTGAAACTCCAACAATGAAATGACCTTTTTGAGATACATGCATGTAAATGAAGGATTAGATGAGATTAAACTCTCATTAACAGACAATAAGCATCTATATTCATCTTAATTACTAATTACTGATATCATAATCATTTTTAGCATGGCCGTTGGAAATTTAAGTATCCTCTTTAAGCAAACTGAAGAAAAACAGTTCAGCAGGCAATCATTTTCAACCATTTCCTCTGATGTGTTACATCCTTCCAATATCAAGATTAGATCCAATAACCACCAATGGGTCCTCCATTAATTCTACGGTCAAGAACTTTTTCAACTATGTTTATTGTGTATTGTACTAGTATTAAATTATGAAATCAAAGCGGGCTTGAGATCCAAATTTGTTCAAGTTTTGGAACAAATTGGGCTGGTCTATATTCCAAGTGGACCCTAGTTGTAAAATCTCTTTTGTTAAGCTTGTTG